ACCTTTGGGTGTCAGTCATGAAATCAGCACATTTGGACCAAGTGATGCCATTCCTGGGGCTAGTATCTCCCCAAGTTAGGAATAAGATTTATGGAGGTCACAAGTGAGATTCCTCCATATAATTAGGTGACTAAAGTAGAATGGAAAAGTTAGTTATTTACATCTTACTCCTCCTTACGGCAACAAATGGACAATGTTAGGGCCATTGATAGATGAAAAATTTGGCCATAAATAGACAAACATTGGGCCATAATCAGATGGACTTAGTAAACTTGTTAGTAATTAGTGGTTTTTAAGTTTTTGTGAGTTTTTCTTTTCTGAAAGCTAGTTTATAAGCAATAAATCATATAAAATTTTATATTATACCTTTATGTAAAAAACTTATATTTAAATAAATGAATTCATACACTGTTTTATTAACCCTAGCAAGAAATGGGCCTATTACCTTGAATTTCCACACAACTCAATTCTAAGAATTTTTCATGATCTCTTGCTTATAGAAGTTCTTGTTTTGTGATCCATGGCATTTGTTATTTCTAGTGGCCATAAATGCAGTAGGTGGATGAATACCTAGCTTTTATATCTTCAAAGGTGAGCAGAGGATGTGAAATTGGATTATAAAGTATGAAGTTGAAGCTGTATTCACCATCAGCAAGAAAGCCTAGATGATAGCCATAATAACTTGAACACTTTGTGAAATTAGTATCTGGTGGATACTTGCCTACAAACCACCATGCTCTCATTGTTGATGGCCATAGATCCCATATCACAAAGGTTGCACTTGACACAACAAGAATGTTATATGTGGATGTGATTCTTCTTTCAGCATACTTCTCACCATATGCAATCATTAGATATTGCTTGTTTTGGCCCATACAAATGTTACTTTAGGTGGTGTGTGGATGAACACACTCTTGGACATTTTGGACATGAAGTCAATTGTTGAGATCTCACACAATTATCTAATAGAGACATGACTATGGCTTTGACACTACAAACATCCAACTCGGATTTAGAGGAAGTGGTTTATGGCTATTGAACAAGAATGTCATGGACACTCACTTTGGTCCAAGTACACTCCATGTTCACTTTGAAATAGACTTAAAAAACACTTTAGAGTTAGAGACCAAGAGATTAGCAGGCACCTTAATCATGAACTAAAACTTAAGCAAGATCTAGTGCAACTCAAGCAACATGAGGATCTAGTGCAGCTTGAGGTTCATCTACAACATCAAAGGCAACCTAAGCAACATATACTATTCTGTTAACCTTGGCAAGAAATGGGCCTATTACCCTAAATTTCCCCCCTTGATTCCTGAAAATTTTTGTGATGGAAGTTCTTGTTTTGTGATCTATGGCATTTTATTATTTCTCCCTCTCACAAAAAGGAAATTTTGATTCCTTGCTTGTGAAATCCTCTCTTCCATCCCATCCTCAACATTCTTGAGAGATCTTTGTTCTTGTGGTGCTAATCACCACCTCTAAATCAAGTCTAATGCTCTTAGGTATAATTTAATTGGTGCAAACAAAACACCTGTTATTTTAACTAATAATTTTAAATTAAGTTAAAATCTTCTAATGTAAAAATCCTAAATTAATGGTGGGTGTGAAACCCTTCTTCTCAGCTCAAGCGAATTGATGCTGGACGGCTCAGGGAACAAGAAGGAATGGTTCTTAGAGAGTAAGTTTTCCCTAATTTCTTTCGTGTTTCAAGGGATCACAGACAGACCCGTCCCAATCTCCGAGCATGATGACGCTCGCGATTGGGAAACCGAGCGTATCCACCATCTTCAATGCTGTGAGTGACCACGCTGTTAGTCTCCGCGCCAGAGCTGCGGCAAAAGAAGCGAAGAATCTTCCAGTACGACGCGAAAGCTCTGGACATCGATGGGAGGAAGGCATTTCCTTTCCCGAATATATGGCGTGTCCAAGATTATTGAGATCAATGACACCATTTTGAGCAACATTGGTTGATTCTAAAAAACTTGGAGAGCTTGTCCATTCGACAATGCACGATCGACGTATCTTTGCCGCGTCCTTGTGGTGGAAACTATTTACACTTGGAGTCTAGTGCAGTTCGTCCTGTCGACGCGGTCCTGGGAGAACAAGTGTTAGAGAAGCAGTGATTCCAAAAGAAACATCACTTACAAATCGAGAAACGTCTGTTCTTCTTGGCCCACTGCTTCCTGAAAGCTTTGAATCTGTGCTTGAAGCCTGCGTCCTCCTGGAACCCCCTCTTGATTCCAAATACCTTCTGCAGGAGGGGAGCCACGTCGTGAGATGTACATAGCTCTCCTTTGTCGCTGACAAGCTTCCCAAGCAGCTCATTCACGCTTTTCCCGCTTGACACCCGAAACTCCAGCAGCCTCGCGATTTCTTCCTCGCTGAAATATGCCGTCGTGAAGAAATACTGTGACTTGCCAGAGTGCTCGAGCCTTTCCTGAGCTTCTTCGTCACTTCCGAAGCTTGACAAGTCTCTAATGAAGAACTTCATCCTCATGTAGAGATCTTCGTCCGCCTGGAGTTTCTGCAGGGTTTCTTCGTACTACTTCATGTTCCCGGCCATCTCCTGTAAAATAGATGAGAACCTGTCCGCCGTTAGGCATGTGAACCAGACTTCAAGGCTCAGCTTCACTGCGTCCACTTCCACTTCATCCAATGCTACGCCGCTGGCCAGCTGAGATCGGATGTAACCCTGTAGCATTTCTCCATCTACCCAGCGTGAGATCCCTTTGTGCATCCGTCACTAGTACTACATCCTGATCTCCTGGCGTAAGTTCCATTTGTGTGAATATGTCCGTCTTGTTTGCTGGCACAAGATCGTCCAGCCTCTTGACTCTCTTGGGAACCAGTCCGGGATCGGCTACTGTCCTTTTCTTTTTTGGTGATTGTGCCGCAACTTTCTCGACAATGCTCCTCGAGCATGAGGCTGGTTTTCGATTGGGAGATGTGTCGTCTTTGGGTCTGGTCACCAGTTAAAACGCTGTGGCGTCACGAGCCCACGTCCCACAAACCAGATGCAGCATCTCATCACTTGACACTTCCACCCAGCTAACATCTCGAGCCTGTCCATTTGCAGGCCGGACCCAGCACTTGTGGCTTCCATCACAAAGACTACACCCAAGAGCGCCCAGGAGGTGTCTCGGGGTGTTTCTGAATACTCCGTCCATTCGCCATCAGAGGTGTTCACGAAGAATGTCACGGCGGACATGACTCCTACAAACGAAGACAACATAAATGATCGTCAAAACGCATTTCTTTCACCTGGCTGTCGGATTGTCTGGCAGAAAATTTGGTTCCTCGCAAGCCCTGGAATCTGTGGCGGCGACCTGGAATTCGCAAGAGATTATCTGTTTGGTCGCATGCGTGAGACGAACCTTGTTTCTTGGATCGCGTTGATCGATGATCGATGCGTTCGCAGAGAGCCGGAGCAGAGCCTGGCTTCCTGGAACGCGATCCTTTCCGGCAGCACCGGGTTTGGAAATCTGGACGAGGCGAGAGAGATTTCGGGGAATTCTTCCTCGTCGAATACAATCCCGGCCGCCTACACCCTATCCTGGAATCTGGAAGAAGCCCAGGCGCTGTTTGCCGATCCCCCGCAAGAACCAGCTCTCCTGGAATCTGATGCTCACCGCCGACATGGAATCATCACTGGAGCTCTTCGCATCGATGCCGGAGCGACGTCGTGTCCCGGACCGCGAGCGCTGCCGGAGAAGCTCTTTCCCCAAATCCCTAGCCCCGATCCCGTCTCATGTGTCCATTTCCCGCCTTCCACGAGATCACGTCCGTACTGGCCGGCGTGACGTGGAGGCCTCTGACACGTGTCCAGCACACTATTTCGCGAATATTCCGTCGCCCCGCCCAGGCATTCCTCCGCGTCGCCGCGATGTGGCGCAGCATCGCGATCTGATCGGAATTCCAAGCGCCTGCCTGGATCGTGTGGCTCCTCTATCTGGTGGAAGATTTCCAAGGACTTTTCGCAGCTGCCGCATCGGCCATACAGGATCATTGCGTCCGGCGCAGCGAGGCGATGAGCGCGTGCGAAGTTCTTTCCTGGTTTCTCGATCCGGTTTGGAGCGACGCCATCGACATCCATCTCCCGGAAGAGCCCGACCGATTCTTGAGGACGATCGCTCTCAAGAAACCACATGTCTCTCGGGGAGAGACCAAAATGCCTAGCGAGAGCTGGCATATTCTCATACACAGCCATGGTCTCATCCAGATGCCCATTTACGGCATATACAGTAGGCATCGCATTCCATGACACGCTACCAACCTCCCGCCTCTTCGCTTTCGTAATGGAGAAGATCAACCTTACACCTGGTCTCGACTTAACCCTAGAAAGATTTATGTAGCGGCCACTCTCTTTGAGCGAATGTCATGCCCGGTCCAGTAAGTTTTTCCCTCGTTTTTAAAATCTTGTCTTCGATATCACTTATTTGTTTAGAGTGATTACGTATCTCCCATTCAGAAACCAGCCTCATGCTCAAGAAGCAGCGGCACAATCACCAAACAAGCACTCGGAACTTATGGATACAATACAATCACGGCGTGTCCACCGGAATTGGTGTTGACAATCAGTACCTTGCGATTCGACACCTCGTTAGCGAGTGCCGCCATCGCGACCGTCTTCGCTGCTCTCCATCTTCTCGAGCTCTTCTTCACGGCCGTGGCAATGCCGCTGCTTGTGCCGAGAGAATGGAGCGAAGAAGTGGAAGGAGATCGCAAGGAGAAGGACGACGCAATGTAGCCGGGCGTTAGCTTTGAAATCTCCAGCGACGCTTGCCGGGGCGTGGAGACCGGGAATTGGAGAGAGAGCGCCATCGCCGCTCACACGCACCTTAGCCAAGATGGAAGGGAAAAATAAAACGAGGAGATTTTGGAATTTCTTTACCTGATAAGTAAGCATCCATCTGATGGAAGCGGCGCTGCTCCAAGAAGAAGGATCGCTTCCGCCGAGCGCCGCGTTGCGATCGTCTAACAAGCTAAATGTTTTAGGGTTTAAGGAGAGATTTAGGGTTCTTCGATGGAGGCTCCAGTGAATAACATCATCTGCGTGTTCGTGAATGCCGATGGCAAGGCGCTGGAGCGCTTGGATGTGCCACAGAATCTCACGCCGAAGGAGCTCCAGACGCTCATCAACACTGTTCTCCACAATGTGAGCGACGCATTCTTTCTTTCTTTCGCTTCCTTCGTGTAATTCTTATTCGTTTTCGTTTGTATAGGAAGAGCCGCTCCCATACGCCTTTTATATTAACGATCTCGAGCTCGTTGGACAGCTCGGAGAACACGTACTTCGAAACAAAGGTGCTCTCTATCTAGAATCGAAATAGTTTCAAGAAGCAACGCTCCATTTTCTTTTGGGATTCAGTATCTGTGGAGAAGGATCTGCAGATAGTTTACCACCCGCAAGCCATCTTCCGGATCCGCCCGGTTACGCGTTGCTCAGCGACCATCTCAGGTGCGAAGTGTTAGTTCTTTCGAATCAAACTTAGTAGTTTTTCCAGGCCATAGCGAGGCAGTTTTGTCCGTGTCATTCAGCCCTGATAGCAAGCATCTTGCCAGTGGTTCCGGAGATGCATCTGTTCGTTTTTGGGACATTTCTACTCAAACACCTCTTCATACATGCAAAGGCAAGATGCTTCTTACTTGCTTGGTTCTCCTTCACAGTCTCTTCCTTTCAGGTCATAAGAACTGGGTTCTTTGCATTGCGTGGTCTCCCGATGGCAGAAAACTTGTTAGTGCGAGCAAAGATGGTGGCATCCATGTCTGGGATCCGTTTACTGGAAAAGCATTGGGAAATTCGTTAAGTGTAAGAATCGTACTGTGGTACTAGTTAAATGAAACATTTCTCTTCATTCTTTCTCATTCCAGGGGCACAAGAGCTGGATTACAGCGCTGACTTGGGAACCAGCTCACATACAATCCCCTTGCCGTCGCTTCGCTAGTGCAAGCAAAGATGGAGACGTTCGTGTTTGGGATTCTTCCTTAAGGAAATCTGTTCTTTGCCTCTCGGGACATACACGGGCTGTGACTTGTGTAAAATGGGGAGGCGATGGATTGATTTACTCAAGGTGCGTATGTCACTTTGATGTATATTACGTTTTCTTATGTTCTTATCGAATGGCCTTCAGCTCACAGGACTGTACAATCAAGGTCTGGGAGACAACTCAAGGAAAACTCGTCAGAGAATTAAAGGTTAAACTCTTGCGAGGTGCTTAAGTTGGAGGGATGCCCTGCTTGTGATCTCTTACTGTGACATTGACAGGGTCATGCTCACTGGGTTAACACATTAGCATTAAGCACGGAGTATGCTCTAAGGACTGGACCATTCGATCACACAGGAAGAACATTTGCAACAGACGAAGAGATCAAAGAGGTAACACTTACTGCGACACTCTTCTATCTGTTTCTCACGGTGGTTTCATAGGCCGCGTTTAAAAGATACAAAGCCGCCAAGGGTGACTCCCAAGAAAGGCTCGTTTCAGGCTCGGACGATTTTACAATGTACCTATGGGAGCCTGCAACTGGCAAGCATCCAAAGACGCGTATGTCTGGCCATCAACAGGTAACGTTCTCATCATTGGCGTCTTGGTTGTGATGCTGCTCCATGTTTTCAGCTTGTCAATCACGTCTACTTCTCGCCTGATGGCCGGTGGATTGCCAGTGCATCCTTTGATAAGTCCGTCAAGCTTTGGAATGGATACACCGGAGAGTACGTCACAACTTTCCGCGGACATGTCGGTCCGGTTTATCAGATAAGGTCTCTTTGTTTTTCGTCTTCCTTGTCGATCTTCTTATGTGTTGAACGAGGTGAATCAGTTGGTCGGCTGATAGCCGGCTTTTACTAAGTGGAAGCAAGGATTCTACGTTGAAGGTTGGCGTTCTTTTTTCACTCTCATATCCTCACCATTTCGGAAACAGGTGTGGAACATGAGAAACCATAAACTTCTGGAGGATCTTCCGGGTCATGCCGACGAGGTATCTCTTCAAAGCTGCAAGGGATGCTTACTAGCAAAACATTCCTGTGCAGGTTTTCGCCGTGGATTGGAGCCCCGACGGCCAAAAAGTCGCATCGGGTGGAAAGGATCGAGTGCTCAAGCTGTGGATGAACTGAACAGACCAGATGTGCGATGGCGAACAGAATCGCCAAGCGATGAGCGTGTGCGATTGAGAGTATCTTCGCATATCCTTTCTGGAATATCCACTACTGCACTTCTTTTCTCTTATTTTTTTCCCTCTTCATCTTCTCCTGTTCGTTTCTCGTTCGTCTTGCCGCTCAGATTTGCAGGCGATGATCCGTAGCCGTGTTCTCGAGTGCTGAGAGCCTCTCTCCAGTGTCTCCTTCGCGAGTGACATGAGCAGCTACTTTGTTCCTCCTCTCAACTATGGCATGGTGGAGTACGATCTCACAAGATCAGGTGTTGTTCATCAGCTCAATTTTCCTTTTCTAGAGCGCCTCAACTTGCGCACTGTGCTCTATCTCTCACAGGACGAACCATCGCAGCAATTGTGAGTGGTTTGTGTGCGATAGGACAAAAGCGATTTTTTGTTTTTGCTGCATTAACACTCGTTCGTTTCATTCGTTCTTCCTCTGTAGCTTGAGCTTTCTCGACGAACAAGGCATACATTTTCGAAGGACTCATCAAAGCAGCAGCACGACAGCGGCTGAAACGACGGGATCGCTGTCCGAAGCTCAGGTACTATCTGCATTGGAGGTCAGTTTCAGTACTTTAAAATTTCGTTTGTTCCTTTTTCCTTCGTTACACTTTCGTCATCCTGCTCTCTCTGTTTTTTCTAGGTGATACTGCGTCCGGAGAATTATCCTTTGCATGTTATGTGCAAGCAGGGACGCAACACCACCGGTATGACTACGCGATCTCTTTCAAAACCCGAGTAACCGATGAGATTAACAGTCTTTCGCCTGGCAGGAACTGTAATAGGCTGTCTTAGAAAGCTCCAGAGATGGAACTTGACGTCGATATTTGAAGAGCACCGCAGGTACACAACCAGCAAAGTACGGATCCTTAATGAGCAGGTACCAAGCCTCTAAATTGTGTCTTCAAGCTTTCCATTGTCTAGGTGCAACAAATCTCTTGATGCAGTTCATTGAGATGTTCGACGCTAACTCGGTGACCATTCCTCCAAATCATCCTGACTGGCTATGAAGAAAGAAACCAGACGATTCTTTTTTCAACTCCAAAAACATTTAGAAAAACGTCAATTGAAAACAAAAGTAAAGACTATTGTGATGGTTCCATTCATTTAGCTTGGAAAAAAATGGTATAATAAAGTTATCTTAGCTGTGAGATCACTAGAATTCTGATAAAATTTTATATACATTCAATTCATTACAAGGAAAAGCCATTCCCTTGAAAAAGAAATCACTATTGTCATTTACAATAACCACATTCTTAAAGTTCGGAACCAAGTGCAACAAAAGTTTTTGATCACCGAACACATGCTTGTCTTTAAGCCCTTTAGTGGAAAAGTTTTGCAGCAGTACTAGTAAACCTAAAGGTGACTATTATTAAATGTTGATTAACTTAATTCAGTGGCTTCTTAGTCTCTTATATATTTTGTTTAAGGGGCCTCCATGAATGGAGGGCATGAATGAAACCTGGTGAACAGAGGGTGTGAATAAAAATTAAGATTTGGGTGATGAAACCTCATGAATAAAGGGTATTAATGAACATTAAAATCTGCAACTCTCCATTAAAAGCTGTAGCTCTTCTAAGAACCTTGCTCTCTTGATCAAATATAAACTCTTTAATTTTATTGGGATCCCAATATATTATTCAAACTAAAAAATGTTTAACTTATGTATTCCAAGTGAGTTAATAAAGAACATAACCTTTTATAAGAAACTAAATTTTCCATTCTATTTTAGTCACTGATTGGCTATTTCTAAGTGCTCCATATGTCCAAGTTTCATATCAAACACCCAAAAGTACCACCATCATACTAACATCTTATGCTAAAATCATGTCCATTTTCATTTGTTTCATTGGTAATCCAAGACTACTTATACCACCTATAAAACCAAACCATTCATTTGCGAGTGGTTATTCTATAACCACTTGTTAGCATCTTAAAATGATCTAAGATATAAAGGAATATTATCCTTTCAATATCCTTTTTTCAATCCCCACTAAATGCTTGCAAATATTGCTACTAGGTCAAGTCATAAATGCCCATCTACTAAGTCTTAATAACATTAGCCACATGGCTAAAGTGAGGTTTTCTTGAGTCAAAGTATCTAAATAAGTAGTGTCAGATATATTTAGATTGGGAGCATTGATTATTCAATCTTCTAAAAGAGCTAGAGTCAACTCTTAAACACTTCATTAAATCTATTTGTCCATCCATATTCACTTTAGCCTTAAATTCCCTTGTGTTCATATTATGAATATAACCTTCCTTAGTCATACTAATTGCCTTAGAATCCTCCCCCTAATATACCACAGATATCCAACCCTGGATATATCAAGCCCTAGATATCTCTATATTTGAAACTTCAAACATTCAGTTTCTTGATAGGGTAAATTGATTCCAAGATCATTCCACTTTGAGCTCTTAGGTTTTAGGACTTCAATCTCAACACTTCCACATGTCATAATACTTGGCATATATTAATCATTCTTTTGTCCCTTTTTAAAGATTTGTTTATTAATCACTTTGTGCTTATTTTTTGATATCTTTGTGCTTGTCCCTTAAATGCTTATTTGGAAGTTCCACTTCTATTCTCAATTGTTTGAGTCAAAACTTTTAATCCAAATGTGTTATAAGGGACTAATTTTTCCATTCTACTTTAGTCACATAACCATACCTATGACTTTTTTAAAGAGTCTCACTCATAACCTTCATAGGTCCTTATCTGCATTAGGGTACTTACTTACCCCCAGATGTAATCTCAAGACCACATTGGCTTAGCACTTAGTCCAAATATTCTATGTATTCGATCTCAATTCCGACATCTAAAAGTACCATTAACATTTCAATCTATTATATCCATTCACCCTTGTCCTATTGGTAGTTCAAAACCACTTGTAACACAGTCTTGTCTTTCTAAGACTAGGCCATCCATCTACAAGTGATCATCCCATGATTGCACCTTAACATCCTTATAATGCCCCAATACATAAAGGACACCATCCCTCAATATCCCTTTTTTGGCCCCCACTAAATCCCTTTCTGTCAATTGCAATGTTTGCCTAACATTGCCACTGGGTCAAGGCCTAAAGGCCCAACCACTAAATCCTATTGACTTTGTGGGCCTTCTTCACCATATAACCATACTTTTGGTCACTAAGCAAAAAGCACTCCTCTTTCTTTCCATAGTCAAGAACTCAAGGATGACATTTCAAAACACCACGGCCCAATACAAGCCTTATGAGTACTCTCCCCATCTTTTACCATTAGAATGCATTAGCCATATGGCTAGAGTGAGGTTTTGATGAGCCACACAATGTATCCAAGTAGGTAGTGCCAACCACACTTAAATTGGGAATATTAACCATCTAATATATTAGGGGAGTTAAAGCTAATTCTTGAACACTTCACTAAATTACCCCATTGGTTTATTTGTGTTTAATCTAGCCTTAAACTCCTCAGGGTTATATCATCACCCACTGATGTAGCCATAAAGTGGTGTAAGACCAGGCTTAAGTGGACATTGTCAATAGAAATCTACAACTCTTAAAAATATGACCAAGATGAAAAATCAACTCCAAAATATGATCACTAAGGAATATGAACATGGAACAATATTAGAATAGTCCTAAAGCTTTTAAGATCAAAATCAGCATGCAAAAGAAAGCTAAACAAAATTTGATATTATTTCAACATACAAATAGCCTATACACAAGGATATAAGTACCCCATTAGCTAGCATAGTATGGAGTTTGGGCTTACACCTAAACTAGATATAAAATAAAGACAAATATACTTAGCAAAACGCTAGACAATATATCAAGTTGCTCAACCATGCCCTACTTACCCATTCTCTTTATTATATATTTAGAACCTTGCATAAGCCCCATTTGCCTCCTCAATGAAGGGAATATTGAGGGATTATGGGGGTTCATAACATTACCAAGTGTAATATAATAATATAAGTTTCTCATCACTATATCAAATATACTTGATTAAATAATAGTTTAAGATTTCTGTCCTTAGTGTTCTTCCAGTCTAAGCACACATTTACTAACTAGTTTCTCAACTAGCTTAGGTAGAGATTGATAAAGAGTCCAAAAATACCAATCTTCTACTATCATGGTAATAAAAGGAGAATATTCAAAAAGACAAGCCAATATATAACTTTTGATACTGTACAGACACATTTGTAATAAATATACCTATATAACACTTATAACTCTATTGATGAAAGATTGTAGATAAGATAAAATAGTGGTGATTTCCCCTCTACAAGATTGATATGATGGCAAAATGTTAGCTCTCCTTTTGTCAACAAACATCTTTGAAGTTGGCATACTTGAAGGGAAGAGTAGATTTAATCATGATAGATGAAGCTAATGTTAGATGAACAATAAATGCAAAACAGAATGAGGATCTTGACAGCTAGCATTTCAGAACTCATACAAAGAAATGTGAGAAATTGAAATTAGAAAAGGATAATAATATACTTAAAGAAAGGGAAAATTGTTCAATCAATGCTACTTTCAATCCATTGCTAGGTTCACCAACTCAAACTATAGGAGATAAAAAATAATGAGGGTTTTTAGGATGGAGACAATATTAAAGGAGATGCTATAACTGTTATAGCATCTCCTTATATCAAGATGGCATGAGGCCTCATGCCAATTTTGTGAATGCGAAATTTCATGTGGGTGTCAATAGCATGTTTGAATAATGGCATGTGGCCTCATGCTATTGAGGTTGTTTGGTATGTTATGATTTAGGCCATTCTCCAATCATTTTTTGTATGGTCTTAACTTCTTTTCTGCACTTTCAGAATGGCCTTCAGGGTTGGGGAAAAGGTTTACATTTTGAATGGTGGGAAGAGAGTTGCAAAAGGGACCCTTGTGTCTATGGATCGGAACTTTGTTATACACTGTCAAAGGCTTGGGGAAGGCAATGCTGCTGTATCAGTAGAGACTGTCTTCGATGGGAATGTGGTCGCTATTGAACGAGGAGAGATGGTCGTCGGGGTAAATGTTGTTGTTGCCTTGAAAAATCTTCAGAAGAAAGCAGATGTTGGGGACAGCGCAAGTGCGACGCATGTTCCCTCCGTGGATCTTAAGAACCGTGCTACATGGATTCAGGCAAAGGTGTTTCTAAACAACCCCGAGGGGGAGGTGGTAGCTGAGGGCTTAGCCACAGTTGTCGATCCAAGAGATGCGGTTGCTAATCAAGAATTGGGCTGGGATGATATTGGAGTTGCAATTTTAGAGGTTGTTGACACAGAAGAAAACAGTCTGACTATTGGAAGCATTGTGCGGTGGAAATTGAGGCATTTAGTGTTTGAGAATGTGAAGGATTCACAATCAAACACCACTACAACTGATGACAGAACATCTCTTCATGGGAAAAGAAAGTACACCTTCCTACAGCGCAGCCAAAGGGATCTGAGCAACGAACCGAAAAGGCAGAAAATGGCGATGGAGGTTCGAATGGTCTCGACAGTTGCTTGTTGCAAGAGGAGGTGCTGTCAACATGCTGATTGGGATGCTATTGAAGAGGAGAGAGCAAGATACAAGACATTGTCCTGGAAGGCAGCTCGCAATTTTGTGTATGAGGCATTACGGTCATCTGTTGATGCTTCAGAACATCAGGTGGGGGGCATGGTCTTCCAGAGGGGTTTGGTCTGCATGAAGGCATGGAGAATCATTTATGGAGTCCCTCGAACCACATTCTACAGAATCAAAACTGAGTTCGAGGAACAAAGGGTTCAACAGGCAGTCCATGGGAACAACGGTACGCACAAAACCAGGGGTCATGTTGTATATGGAGAGGCAATCTTCAAGAGGTTTGTCGAGACATGTAGCGAGCAGCAACCACATAAAACCCGCCTCTTGGAAGATGGAACACGAGACACCCAACGAGTTCTCCCTTCCATGTATACCAAGGGGGCCATATTGGAAGATGTGAATCGGGAACTCCAGAGTAATGGCTACAGGAAGCTGAGCCAATCTAGATTTAGTAGATTGTGGAGCAACAGGTTCAGGGATGTGAGTATAGGAAAGTACTCCAGCTTTTCAAAGTGTGACGAGTGCACTGCTATCAAAATGGCTTTGTCGAAGAATTCTTGCAGCGCTCAAGAGCGAGAGACGTTGGTTAGAAGGCGG